CCCCCCCCCCCCCCCCCCCCCCCCCCCCCCCCCCCCCCCACATGTGGATTTTTTTTTTTAAGCCCTAAAAGCTTTCTCATTTTCTGTTTCTCTTACAAAGCTAAGGTGCCCAGGGAACTCTCTTAGAGATATTTCTTTTCTGGAACCCTTTCTCTGGTATCACTTAGGAGGCTGGTAGGGAATTCCAAGATGCCAGTATCATGAGAAATCCTTGAAGCATCAAAAAATACTGTTTTTTCCCTTTGGGGCTTGTTTTTACTTCCAGAGCACATGGGGCCCACCCGTCCATATTCATGCAATGTGGAAATTGATCCTGGAAGGAAATCCTAGTGATAGCTCCTTCTAGAAATGATTTTTGCCCTTGTCGTGACATGCGTTTTTCTGCCTGGCTGTTGAGTGGTGGTTGGGTTGAGCATCATGTGCTTAGCGTCTTTGCAAGGCTGACCTCGGGAGCAGCCCCTCCTTTGTGATTGTGCTGTTCACGTATGACACAAATAAGGTTTGGGTTTTTATTTCACGCCATTTCTGAGATAAAGTGCAACCAACTGGAGCATGTCTTTGGTTGACATAGGAAGTTACAAGTTTACCAATCTTCTCGGAAGTTACCAGTCTCTAAACCATGGTCTGGACGTAGGAGATGTTAGAATAAAGTCAAATGTCACCACTTCAATGTGGATTCTTGGTGATTTCTCATCAGTGCAAAGAGGATTTTTACTTTGCCCTTAGGATTTGAATTTCAAAACATTGCATTTCCCATCTTTCACACTCCCCTTTTTCTCGTTCGCATTTCCCAAGCACAAGCCTGCTACAGCTGGCCCTGGGTCCTGGCTCTCGGCCAGCACTTAGCAGTCTGTCCGATAAGTGTGTTTTCTCCTATTACATCATGTTGAATTCTTTCCCCTGGCCATTAGCTTTTACAATGTGGTCTTGGTGGGAAAGCCCTGTGGTGCCAAGCGCAGGAAGGGGCCAGCTCGCAGGGAGAGGTCTGTGTTCTAGAAACTGTTCCATGTGCTCCCTTAGATGAGGAAACTACCAAGCCCGCTTGCTGTGGTGTGCACCTACTCACAGCTCAGCACTTAGCTTTCCAGACTCCTCGCTCTTGGGCTGTTGCCGGTCCTTCTTTGGCAAAGACTGTTAGACCACGTGGGGTCCTTATTCACAAGATAAAGCAGCCTGTGAGATTAGATACTACACTATTGCTATTGCTGAACCTTGTTTATGACGTTGCACTTGCGCACGGACAGCATCTCCTAACTCAGTTCCTATTGAAATATAAAGTATTTGGAAGCCTGAAAGTTCAGACTCTCAACTTGGTGATCATTCCCTTTGTCCTGTGGCCTCCCTAAGCCAGCTGTTAGCTCCCCAAACAGGGAGGCAGTGGAGATGATGATGCTCTTAGAAAGTAACCAGCTCCTCGGCACTCCGTGGCATCCAGTATTGTCTACACCGCTCCGAACCAGGCTGTTGACAGCTCCTTAAGAAAAATTTGCCTCATCCGCACCCGGTGGTGTTGGTCTCGGTGGCTCCTGGGCACTGTGGGCAGATACCTTAGGAGAGCGACTCGACACAGTCAAGGCAATTGTGTCCTCAGGCCCTTGTGAAGCCACACGCGCGCGCGCTGGGACTCCAGGCGTCTCGGCTGCGGAGAGCTTTCTGCCAGCCCCCCCGGGGTGCTTCCGCCAGGTCACATCTAACCACAACTCTGGTTTTTGACATGACGCCAGTTTTGTCTTAAAATTCACTGAGAAAAAGGAGACAATTTCTTAAGCCTTCAGGACCACCTAAATTAGCAACTATTTATCAGTATTTAAGTATTTAAAATACATTTTGTTTCTACTTGAAGCTTTAACCCCTTCCATTCCTGCAAGTGTGCCTTTGTGAGCCCCATGTCCTGTTCGCTTCATCGGCCACCCTGCTGAGACTCTCACGTGAGAGTCTTGGTGTCTTCCTTCCCTCTTGGACGGAGCTTCCCTTTCCTCACTTTACAGGCTGGGCAGCAGAGAGGGTTCTGTGTTTTCGCTCACATTTCTACTAACGTGGATGGTGGGCTGCACAAACACCCCTTCATCCCCCCCAAATAGTATATTTTAGGAGCACAAATGAGGTGTTGAAACAAGCTTAAATTTAGTTGTAATACTAGGCTCACTCTCCTTCCAGCCTTCTACGGATTGATCTGATTTTAATGTTTGAGTTCTGTATCAAGAGCTAAAACCATGAACTATCCTAGGAACTGTGTTGGAACTCTTTAGAGAAAAGAAGAAGAGGAGGATGAAAGAAAACCAGCTTGAGAAGTCTTGACTTTGGAGAACAGAAAGCCACCAGCTGTTGGAGAACAGAGGGATACTTCCTGTCCTCTGACTTTATCTTTCTGGGTTTCCGCCTGCTTTGCTCTTTCCTTCCCCGTGAAAGTGATGTTCCTGGTGGGTTTGTCTGTCTGTCCTTGTCCTTGTGGTGATCCTGGCATGGTGATGTGCTCTGCTTTGCGTTGTCTGTGCTCTCTTACCAGTGCACGAGTCAGTGGGGAGGATCTGAATACCCCCAGGGGCAAGGAAGCCGAGCTCTGAGGCCTGCATCCCGTGCAGCCTCCCCGCGAAGTGCAGAAGGCATGTTCTGCACGGTCACCAGTAAGTGGCTCCCTCTCACTCTGTCCCTTGTCAAATGAGAGCAACCCCTAGGTGTTAACTCCACCCCTGCTGTCTTTCCTTCGCTCTGCTCCCCTCCCACCAACCAGGGTACATGTCAGCGCACACCCACCGTGCCCTGGCGAAGCTGGTGCTGTGAGTGAGGTCTCCCTGCAACTCAGGGGTCCCAGGTGGCTTCCCCTGAGATGGTCATCTTAGGCACGTAACAGTGTAGGAATGAAAAGTGGGCTTCACTAATATCTAAATCTCTGTCTGTTTCATTTTTTGTTAAGGTTTTCCCTGATGACTTTTTAGCAATTTAACAAATAAAACAAAATGGACAGAATTGTCTTAACTGTTTCATTAGTAGAAAAGAAAGAAGGAAGAAAGCTGTAGTAGCAAGCAGTTGAGGTTGGAGACGGAAGTTGAAAGCAAGGTAGTTGGGAGACTCCCTCCTCCTCTGGGAGGGGTGTGTTTTGGGGTTGAGGTGGAGAGCTGCCCTTCCCCAGGGACAGCTCCATTTAACAGTGACGTGGCTCCCTCAGTCCTGCTTGAAGGACTTGGTGTTTCAGAGCCTCATTTACTACCCTGTGGTGCACACCTAAGAGAGGTGATCAGCTTGGAGCGGAGGCCCCGGGGGCCAGGACAACAGCCACCCCGTCACTGGCCTCCTGGGCAAGACGAGGACATGGAGCCCTTGGATCTTGGGACATAGTCGCAGATGGTGGTGAGAAGCAGGCCTGCGGCTCTAGAGGCCTCTGACCTGATCTCGCCTTCCCCCTGTTAGTACTTCCCCTTGGATACAGGTTTCCTCATCTGTAGTTTTAGTTGTTTTTATCTGAAAGGATCGTGAGGGTGAACCGAAGTTGAATACGAAAGCACTAGCACAGGCCCTGGCACATGGCGAGAGCTCGTGAGGTGGTGGGTAGTGTTTGTAATTAACCCTTGAGAAAAATACAGGATCGTGAAGGAAAGGGTTGGGCTCGTCGTGTAAACCGTCACGAGCGTGCCCCTGCTGAGGATTATGCGTGTCTGTGGTCGTCCGGGTCATCTTTTAGACGTCACCGTGAGAACCTCTGGGGCTTTTGCCTCTCGAGAGCAGTAAGTAGCAGCTGCTGCCATCAATCAGGTCAGAACTGTCTCATCGTTTAATCTCCCTTCCGGACTTCATTCTGCGGTGTGCTCGTTGAATTCTGCCTCCGGCACGTGAGGTGTCCTTCTGCCTGGTTGCAAGGGCACAGTTAGTGGGCTCCCAGTTTGGAAGTGTCGATTAGGGACCGACGACACGAGTCTGCCCGGTTGTGTGGGGGCCTGGGAGGAGACAGGCACCACCAGGGCAGGGGGCTGCCCCAGTGCTGAAGCCACCTGCCAGGTGTGTGCCAGATCCTCACACCCACGGGCCTTTGGGCCGAGCACCATCACGGGCTTTTCGTTCAGCGGTTACTGTACCAACTTCGTCCCAGGTTCAGGTGCTGTGGAGCTGCGGCTGTCATCTCGTCTGCACGGTTGTGTTTCCCAAGCTGTGGGGTGAACCTTCCACCTCTAACAGCAGGTGGTCTGATGCTCTCTGTTCCGTTTACCATACTTTAAGGCGGATAGCAAACTACAGCATGGTCTGGGGAAGGGCCCTGGGGTACAAATGGCCCAGCACCACGTGCTGGCTGCTACTGAATTGGCAAGGGGTAGCATGATTGTTCTGAATTCTGTCACAGTCGCCCTGCGGACGGGTTGGACTTGTCCCTGGTGGGTCTGTTGGGCTGAACAAGGTCCGGTGGGTAGAAGCTCTAGGGAAGAGATTTCAGCATCATTGGGAAATTCCTCCCAATGGCCAGAACTGTATGTATCAGGTAGAACCAGTTTGGCACCATTGGGGGAATTCAAGCACTGCCCAGGCAGTCTATGTACAGAATGTTGTGGAGGAGGCTGTGTTTGGTGGGTAGGGTGCTAGGGGTGACTGATTGGTGGTCCTG